CTGAAAATAAACTCTTTTTTTGGATTAGTTTTCAGTTAGAAAAGCTAGATTCTTAATTTGTTTTAATGCCTTAAGGTGCATGTATTTGAGCTGGTGCAAAGTAATTATGTTGTAGGGACAAAGGCAAACAACTGGGCCAGGAAAATAGTTGAATAGCTTTTGGTAGGCACTGTGGATCACTGCTGGTATTTATTGGACTTGATAATTTCATATGAGCGAAGGCTGGAAAAGACCATTTAGAGTGAAAGGAAATCTCTGAAGTTTATGTGGGAGAACCAGCTACAGTTTGGAGTGTGAAATTATTTGTCCAGTAGTAGCTTTTTTTAGTGAATTTGTATAGGCAGGGGTAACATTGTATAACTAAAACACTCTGATGTTTAAAAAGGACAGAGGATTTGTCCTTTTTTTACAGGCTGTCCTCTCCTCAGATACAGCTCTACTGGCACTACTAATTGTGTCATAAATGACAATATTTTAGCTCTGAGTTTGGGGTGAGAGGATTTGTTTTGGTTTATTCTTGTTTTATGTAGTTTCTTCCTTTGCAACAGACTAAAACTGACAAAGTTTTGCTTAGTTTGTTGCTGCTTCCAGGACACCTTAGGTAGTGGTAAAACTGACTGAAACCAGGGGTCTTGCTCTCTGAGACCCATGCTTGTCTCCATGCTCACTTACTACGCTTCGACTTGGCTTGCACTGCCTTGTTATTCAGGGCATCCAGGTAGTATTTTGCAATAGTCTGAGGTGGTGTCTTGATTGTATGAAAGAGAGGGGCACCTTCACATCAGAGTAGCTATGTTTTGCTTGCTGTTGTAATGTAAGCAGCCTGGTAAAGATGAGGTGTGGATATGTTTGATGCATCTAGTCAGGGTTACCTTGAGCTGGCTAGAACTGGCTACATGAAGATGAAATGTTTCCTCTATGCTTGATTTTATACCACAATATTAACTTGTATGTTAAAAAGAAGGGTGGGGAAGTATTAAGCCAGTTTTAGGTGAAATGTTAGTATTTTTTTATGTAGGCTAACCTGCAAGGCAGAGTTCCATTTTATCATTTCTCCAGAACCAAAGCCAGTTTCAGAGGTTTCTGCCTCTCATTACCCACTTGCTCTTTCCTTCTGTGCTTCAGGCGTTGCTCTTTCAGTTGTTTTAGTGGTTAGCAGGGCCACTTTGTAACCTGTGTTAATGGAATAATCTGATTTTTAAAAACAAGATTGGAAGAACTCTCAAAAATGTTGTTGTTTTTTTTCTTTTTCTCTTTAATTTGGATCATTTGACTAACATGACTTATAGTGCAGTTCATCAGATTTGCAGGGACGTAATTAATGAAGCATGTGTATGGTTGGGAAGAAGTGGCTCTGAATGAAGGAGGGCAGCAACCTCTTAAAGGAGCTTTTCCATTAGCAAAATTGTGGCATGCAAAAACCACCACTAGCTTATGATATCTTTGGGTCAGGGACCATCTCAGTAGATGCTTGGAAACACATAACACTACCTACAATCAGGCAGTTACGTGGTAGCTTGCAGGCAAACTGCATACAATTCGTAACAAATTTATCTACTGTGTTTAGCAGTGATTTGTGGTGTGTAGAACCTGAAACTTTCACAAATACAAATGATATCTAACAAGGGAAATGTTTTGATACTTCTGTTTAATGTGGGTCTTAAAATTTTGAGTGGTTTTGGTTTTTTAACAGGATGTTAATACTAGGTGGTAAGAATAATTTTCCATTTGTAAGGTTTTCAGTTTAGACAATGATAGACAAGTCTGAAGACTAGTTTGGCATACTGTTTTTATGAAATCCAATACAAATAAGGAAACTTCTAGTGCAGTCTTCAGGATACAACTTCTAGTGAGGAAGAGATAATTTCCACTGTAGTACTGAATTCAGATTTGAAGTATGCAGAGAAAACTTTTTTTTGGCAGTGTTGAGGAGGACAGATAGTATTTCTAGAGTAGCGATAAGCAGACACTTATCTTGAATAATAATACATTTATATTTGCTAGCTTCCAGAAATAATCTGATCTCTTCTAAACATAGTGAAGTAATTATTTATATTGATCTGTCTGTTTCTAGTAAAGGAAATCCATTTCTTTATGAAGCTCTTGTGCAGAATGTTAGCAGCAAATATGTATAAGGGGTCAGAAATACTTTTTTGTTTGTTTTTTAAATTGAGATGAGTAAATGTGAAAGAAACTGTCTTTAGATTTATGATTTTTATTTCTTACATAGTATTGCCTTTAATCTTATGGGTTTGGTTTCGAATAGATCTTATTCTGCACAGTCTGATGCATTGATGCATCAGATCATGATAGCACTGCTGTTCATTTTCAATCCCTCATATATTAGGTATTTGTTTTGGAGTTTTCTGTGAAAAATTGAAAGCAGGAAGCCTGCCTTGCTGAGTTACGTTCAGATTCGAGGTCTGCTATACAGTTCTTCATTAGTCTTTAATCTTACTGAAGTAGGGGGAATTTCTTAGGCATATAAGAATGCAAGATTACACCCAGAAATTTTATCAAATCTTTATAAGATGACTTGCAGCCACAGAACTGGGCTGCATACATCATCTTTGCTGCTTCTCTAGCTCCATAAATGCCATTAGGTTTTATATCAGACCATTGGGGTTTTTTGGTGCCTTAAGAAGGGAAAATGTGCTTTGTTGAAGGACATAACATTCTATACTGTCAAGCTGAGACTAACAGTAAATTTAAAAAGTCTACTTATTGAAAATAGTGTATAAATACTTTGGTTTCTTTGTTTTTCTCTATTTCAAATACATTTTTTTGTTTTATTTCTTTTAGCTGCCAGTTTGTGGGGTCCATATAAGGACATATGGCAGACTGTAATGAATGCCATTTGGAAAAGGCAACCTGAAGCTATTCATCGCCTTGACCAAGTTTTAAAGAAACACAAATCTGACTTCATTTCTCTCTTCAGAAATCCGGTATTTGACTAATGCTCTCTTGTGGCATAAGTTGGAGAGTTGATGATTTTCTGTCTTGTGTTGATGTATTACATACCATTTAGGTCCTGACCATTCTTTTCATTCTGCATTTTTACAGTACATAACACAAATGCGTTTTACCAATCTTATTCTGCTCCAAGAATACAAATAGCTTGAATAATTCATATTATTTTGTGTCTTATACAGGATAATTTTATCTATAACATATTTTTTCTTCTCATTATTTGAATGCTATTTTGAAAGGAATAGTAGAAGTATCTGATGTTCCATCAGTCAAGTATCAGCTTTTTTTGCTACTCTTGTGTGTCTGAAATAAAGTACAAAGTTATTTTGTCTGGTTTTGGTCCATGCTTATGCTTCAGTCAGGTTAATGAACACACAGAACAGGTGAACACATGAATTTACCAAATACATAATATGTCTTGTTGGGAATGTGAGATGATGTGGAGAAACTCACTGTTTCTTAGCTGATAGATCACAAGGTAGCAACTAGAAATATGTCTCCTTTCAATGGTGTTTCTTCTGAGATGGTATATGGCTTTTTGACCTGATAGGTCAGAAAATTTAACAGTCAGGTATAGAGTTTCGTCAGTATATGAGTAATAGAAAAAAGAATGATGTAGAAAAGAGTGCTTTGGAGTAAGGCAACAGTTCTGATCAACAACCCAGATGTCTTTCATTGAGCTGATACCAATTCCTGTTGAGAATTGTGGCAAAATTTACTTTCAATTTCTGTTATTTGGAGTAACCTAAATGACAGCACTGGTTGTATAAGATTATTTTTGTACATTCCCACAAAGAGACCATTGTTGTGCAAGTGTGAACCATTTTTAGGATATCTTTACTATTTCTGTGTTTAAAAACACTGCCTTTGTTTTTATGATGATGACCTAACCTGTCTGAACTGTATATGTGAGGAAGGATTAATATGTAAAGCTTTATTCAGTATTTGATCTTGCCATTTTGAATAACTTCCGACGCTTGTTTCTCTTGCAGCCAAAGAATGTTCAGCAGCATGAGAAAATTCAGAAAGCAAGTACAGAAGGGGTTGCTATCCAGGGTCAGCAGGGAACTAGGCTTTTGCCAGAGCAACTAATCAGAGAAGCCTTTATCCTCAGTGACCTCTTTGATATTGGAGAGCTGGCAGCTGTTGAGCTCCTTCTAGCTGGTGAGAAGGAAAAATACTTAAGAGCTGGAGAAATACAACTTAAATAGGGCCTTCTTATTTAAGTGTATGCTTAACATGAATGCATGATTCAGTCAAGGCCTTTAGCTTCCTAACATAGAATGTTCTTAAAAAGAAATCTACTGTCACTGTAATGTAATACAATAACAGTGTTCTGAACCTTAATGCACATATTTTATGCAGCTGTTGCAAAAGGAGGAATAATTTGAGAGGGTTTTATGGTTTACCTTCTCTATCACTGAATTAAAAATAGTTTAAAAATAATAGATTGAGAGTTTTTTCTATAAAGCAGTGTAATAGGTATTCGTTCTTCAAACTACGTGTTAGTTACACATTGATATGTGACTCTCTTTGGGTCATAATCTAATAACTGATTACTAAGAGAAGTATTCTGGAAAGTGACACATGCTTTACATGTGGAAAATTGATTTCAGAGTTATTAACGTATAATTGTTAGTTATCATTACTTGCTACTGTTCATTGCTAACTTTTTAAAAATTCACTAAAGTAGCAGCCTGCAAACTTGTCACCTTTGGAAAGCCGTCTTCAAGTCAACCTTACTTTCTGTTTTGAACTTGAATTTTCAATGTAAATTCAGACAGAAAATTTCATTTTGAATAAGGAAAAGATATTTTGCTGATAATCAGCTTGAATTGATTATTAAGAGGGGTAGATATTGGTTGCAAATACAGTTCAGACTAAGATATTTATGGACTTGCGCTTCTATTTCTTTTAAATTTTTGGATGTTTTAATAGTTGACTATCATTTTTAATAATAGCACCCAAAATATCTGTGATTTCTTTGAGGTGCCTGAAACAAATCAAAGTGGTAGTTAATAACCACAGTTGCTTTGAATGCTACACTTGTATTTCAGTTAGAAATACAAAGATACAGAGCTGTTATCAAAGTGTGTATGTTCAACTTTCTGTGACTATTCTGTGTGTTTTCACTCAATAGGAGAACACCAGCAACCTCATTTTCCTGGCCTTACAAGAGGTTTGGTGGCTGTTCTGTTGTACTGGGATGGAAAAAGATGCATTGCCAATTCACTACGAACCCTCATCCAGTCACGCCAAGGCAAGACGTGGACATTGGAACTCAGGTCTGTATTAGGGTGATTAGCTCATCAAAGCTCTTTGCTTTGTGTGCTTTTAGAACTAATTAAAATCAAGGCAGTATGAATATTCTCAAATTGGTTTGTTTCTCATAACCTGATGCAGCTGCTTCCATGTTTGTTTTTTAAGCATAATATTATTTTTTTTCTTGCACATATTTTTATTGGATTATAAAGATACCCATTTTACTTTCAGTTTTCTTTTGGCAATGTTTTGCTTCAGACACCCTCCCAGTCAGTGTTGCTTTAACTAGTGATAATTACTCAGTATTTCAGAGACTGAGTTTCTGCCCTTGCTGTGTTCTGGCTTCCCGTGTCCTGTAAAACAGAGAATTGTGCTCTTGCCTCTACTTAAAATGGATGCACTATCTATTGAGAAACATAATATGCTAACATTTTTTGACTTTAAAAAGAAAACAGTACACACTGTTTATTTCCAATGCACAGTGATTGCTCGAGTAGAGAAAGATTGAAACATATGTTCCAGTGTAAATATAAATTCTGAAACATAAATTATTACTCTAGAAATAACTCTACCACTTCAGTAGGGTGTACGTAATTGGACAATTGCATTTACTAGTAAGAAAGCGACTGTGAGCTTGTGAGTTATGTGCATCTTATGTATAGTACCTTTTCCTTTTGATAGAAATCTTAACTAACTGATCCATGTTGTATTCTCATATTCCGTATTCTTGAATGTACAGTTACCTAAAGACTTTGTATCCATTCAGCTTAATGTTTTGAGTGGGCACCGGGTACTGATTAGCAATGCACATTTAGTTCTTTCGTTTATAATGTAGTTGTACATTTTCTGTCAGCAAATACATTTGATGGCATTCATTATTTTAGACGTCTTCTGTGACTGGGAATAGTACGTTTAATTGTTAAATTTGTATTCTTTCCATTATAGTCAAGAGTTAATATCCATGACGACACGCTTTACAGATGACCTAATGGAGCAGGGTTTGACTCAGAAGATCCTCACTCTTGTGTCTCACATTGATTTGAACAATGAATTTGATAAACTCCAGAGAGAACGAGGATTGGGCAGTGAGAAACATCGCAAAGAGGTAGATGTTCACTGGGTGTGAATATTCTTCTGAATTACTGCACAGATTAGAATAGAGTTAGACCGCCAGGAGATATGGAGTGATTTTTATTTTTTTTTAAACTTTCTAGTTTCTGTTCTCTACCTTTGCAAGCTCTGTTACTGTCTGAGCGATCATAGTAACTACTCCACAGCTTGTATTATACCAGTGTGGGATTCAGATTTCTTCCTGCACTTCTGTTTTGCTGTTGCTCCCTGATGCTAGGGTATACCTTATTTTTAGTGAAGAAGTGTAATCAAGGACAGTAAGAAAATAAGCCTGATATTTGCAGTGTGTGTAAATTCTTTTCTTTTTTTTTTTCCCAATTTTATTCTAAAGACTGTATATTCATTGATCTGCTCTCAGCACAACAATTATCAGTACCATTGGAATAAAAATAGCAAACTAAAATTCACAAATTATTAAAACAGATTGAAACCAAACCTAGTCAGGCAAATAATGCTCTTTTTAATAATCCAATTGTGTTAATATTAACATAAGCATTTCTAATAGTGAAGTGAGGACTGCTTGAAAATGAGTTCTTATTTTTGTAACGCTTGAACTTAATTTAGACTGTGACTAATTACAGAGTATGTTTCTGGTAGGAAAATTTTAACATTATTGTTTTAATTTCTTAACTTCTTTCTAATGGGTGATCTGTCTAAAAATTATTCTGTTATAACCAGTCAATTTGTTTTCCACCAAATAAAGACCTAGTTTTACACTTTTGCTATTAATCTAGAAACTGTGCAAAGAATGTCCTTGTGATTTACTTTAATTTACCTTCATTCATCTTAATTTACCTTCAAATTAATTTAACGCTTAATTTTAGAAGTTTTTTCTTCCTTTTTGGTGGACTACCATGTTTCCCTCTGTATTCATTAGAACTATTATTCTGCTAAAGTCTGTGTGCAAATCTCTTGCTGTGTTAAATGTTGAAAAGTTTTTCTCTTTATCACCGTGCATGTGATTTTACTGGAGCTAGAATGCTTCTAGCTCTGTTTTTTATTTAACTAGCTACAGTGGATATAGGGCAGGAATATTATTAGAGGCTCATGATTTAGCTAAGTAAAATACAGTTTTACAAAGACCATTATGAAAGGCCATTAGTGGCTTTTTATTTAAGGTGGGTTTTTTTAAGCTTCTGTTGTTTTCATAAGACTTCAAGCAGTTAAAACGGGAGGAATGAATTTAACAAATTAAATGATTGTTCTTGTTTGAAAACAGGTAGTTTTTGGTGTAACTGTTAGAAAAAAGACAAACTTTGTTTTCAAGATCCATTGTACCTAATGGTATCATAGGATGCAATATTTTGCCAGATAAAGGGGAAAAAAATTAGTATGAAAATGCTTGGTAGCCTTTATGTTGGGCATGATATTTGTTCCATATGTAATAGGGGATGAGAGATTTCATATATGTTTATATTCTAAAGTTGATATAAATATTTTGTCTGGAGGAAGAAAGTTCTAATTTTAAACATCTTTCATATTTCTCAATGTCTTAAAAGTTACGTATCTGTATAGTCAGTTGATGGCATCTCTTTTGGGGCAAGGGGAACACTATGACCTTATCCGGATATAACTACCTGTGCGGTTGTGTATTAGTCACAAAATGTGACTTTTGTGTGATGCATTTACAGCTACAAAAGTTCCGTCTAGATTCATGTCTCCTGGTCTTGACAGAGATGCTGGTTTGCATGTAGTCGTATTCCAGGATATCTGCTCACATCTCACATGGAATACATGGGAAGATGAATGCATTTAACAAGCACAAGCGTGCCTTTTGTTGTTTAGCAATTTAAAAAAACCCAACATTTTCTGTAGCTGCTGTCTTTAGAGTAATTAACCTACTCATACTGATTGACTGAGAAGAACAAACTGAACATGTTGCCAGAGTATTTATATTCACAGGTTTTTGTTTGTCTTTTTCCTTTTAAAGGTTTCTGACCTCATTAAAGAATGCCGACAGTCCTTGGCTGAAAGTCTGTTTGTTTGGACCTGCCAGTCACCACTGAGTAAGGATGACACTCTAATCCTCATAAGTTACCTGGAGAAAGTAACAGTGGAAGCTGATGGCTCATTGGACGGTGTGAACTTGTCTCTTCTCATGGCTCTCCTTTACTGCTTTGATGTCAGCTTTCTGGAGCAAGGCACAGAGGATCGTGAAGGTAATGCTGGTAGGTTTCCCAACGAGGTTATGTTATGCAGATAGATAAATTGTTATTTAACCAATTTTGTTATTGATCAGTAGCAAATTGGTAGGATTTTGCATGTTTGTTTTCACATTCGTTTACTGGGGTGTTGGTGTTGTGTTTGTTTTTGTTGTTCTTCAAGATTTGATGCACCGGCTCCCTTTGCTAGCAGAAAGACAATATATAGCAACGATACACACTCGTCTTCAGGAGTCTCAGCCTTGGAAATTACCAGGCCTGCAAGCTACTGTTAGATTAGCCTGGGCGCTGGCATTGCGAGGAATATCCCAATTATCCGATGTGACAGGTAAATTATGCTAAAGTGCAGTTGCTGCATATTAGTGTTCCGAGCTTGCAAGTGGTGTAAGTCAAAGTATTTGTTACCTTTTTGAAGTGCTAGCATTTACCTTTATGATAAAATTATTATTGACACTCTTTTAAAGGTTTCTCAGTATGTGAGTTTGGTTGTTCAGAATTGAATTGCTCTGAAGTGTACACAGATTTGGAAATAATTAATTAGACAGTAATATTGCATAGTGTCTCATTAAAGTGAAATAGATTTTAATGTACTGAAAAATGTGAAAGATTCAATTTTAGCAGCTTTAGTATCGTTTGAACACTTAAATTAAGAATAGATTCATGCTTGTGACTTTTTACGTCTGTAAATGTGAAACCTCACTATCTTGAAAGGACAAATCTTTTTCAAATTTTTTTTTTCTCTGTACTTCACAAGCTTTCCAGGCTCCTTACTAGGTCCAAATTGAGTCTACCCCAGAATATCTATTAAAGAAAATGTAAACACTATGATTAAAGTTTAATTAAGGTTGGTTTGTGATTCTTGGTTCACAGCCTTAGATTTGATTAGGTAAATGGATTATGTGCTTTAACAGTTGTTAAAGAAAGGTGAGATGATCATCTGACATTTGTCTTTTCCAGTCTGGTGTCTTCCTATACACTAGAAAAACATAGTTGATAGAAGCATGTCAACTTGCATGTCAGCCAGGTATTCTGAAATATGTTTCATGTGGTAACAGATAATTGTAATTTATTTTTTCCCCTTTTGTGATTTTTGTTGCCCAGCTTTGGCAGAATTCACTGAAGCAGATGAAGCGATGGCAGAGCTAGCAGTTGCTGATAATGTCTTCCTGTTCCTGACTGAATCTGTTGTGGGGTCTGAAAATTTCTACCAGGAGGAATTTTACATTCGCAAAATTCATAACCTTGTCACAGACTTCCTTGCACTCATGCCAATGAAAGTAAGTTGCTTGTGTGAATAGCAGTTTTTGAGAAATGTGGGCATCTCTTCTATATTTCTAACATTAGGACAGGTAGCATAGAGATTCAGGTATGACCTTCCACTTGAGGTACTGCAGTTCAGAAAGCTTGTTGACTTTATGGAACCCATATGGTTTGGGGTTTGTTTTCCACACCATGGAATGTAACTTTTAAAACACTTCCATGTGGTTAGATTTGCACAGCAAGCTTTTGTGGTGGTAGTGGTTTTATTTTGTTTTACATTATTAAAATTTAAATGAATGCTGAAACTGATGGCAACGTGTGTGGATATTGATTTTGTTGTTGTTGTTGGTTTTTTCTTTTGATACAGACAGTAGTATAACCTAAATTAATTTACGGTTTTTGTCTCTCATTTTTTATTTATTCTTTTACTAATGATTTTTTCCATATTTAAGGGGAGGGATTCTGCTTTTCCAGTAGTATCAATTGTTGGGAAAAATGAGCAGCTATTTTCACTAGAACAGTAGAAATACTGTAAAGGTGTTTTGAAAAAAAAAAATTGAAGCAATTACAACAGTTTCATTTGTGCAAGACCTTGTATCTAGACATGGAAAATTAAAATTTTGTGAAAACGCTTTTATTTAATTGATGGGGGCCTTAATCTGTGACCCTCATTGTGTTGAGCTGCAGTTGGAGTTGCCAAATAATTACTTTCTTCAAAGTGCAAAAAGAAGGTTTTAAAAATATATTTTGTTCATTGTAACTTCACAGAATAAGAACAATATTGGCAGGAAAAACAATATTTGAATCTTAAGAATCTTTGAGGGCATATATGAACGTGTTGTAGACAGCTTTTAGGTTTAATCCTAATTTAATTGTAATCTGTTGGCATGTTGTTTCCTCAAGCTGTCTTTTTAACCCACAGAGTATCCATAGAACAAGTATAATGTCAGTTTGAACAAGTTCATGTTGATTCCAGCTGTATTTCTGCTGCAATGGCTGCCTGCATACACCACTTACCATGTTGTTAACAGGCTTTGGGCATCCTTTTGAAGGTTGCATGCACTGCTGTTTTCTGTAATACAGACACAGTAGCCCTTAGGAATCTTTTGAATATATGAGGAATATGAAAGATATATTTTATGTAAGTTCCTTTAACAGTCAAGTGCAAACAGATTTGGAACTGGGAACTTTTTAATGAGGTGGTTCTTCGTTGGATGGTGTTGCTTTACAAAAGAGGAAATGTCTCTGTGTCATGATCCCAGTTTTTATGAAAGAGATGTAAGGTAGATTTTTGAATGAAGGTGGAAGAGCTGGAGACAGACCCAGGCTGAGGTTGCTTCCATATTAGGTTTACAGCAGATGTGACCCTGTCTCCTATATCCACAGAACTGCCTGAAAATCCTAAGGCTGTTGGTCGGTATGTTGGTACATCTCTCATCTTCATTGCATTATGAAATTGGAGGCTTTATCTCTGGGAAGAGTATTTCTTTTCCATTTAATTTTTTTTTCCTTTGGTTCAGATCTACAGCTGATTGTAGGTAATGCCTAAAGATGAAGACACATATTTTTCATTACAAGTAGGATATTGCAATACATGATATAAGCAAAAATCTGCCCGTTGACTTGTATTCCAGTTTGATAGAGGCCATGACTAGTTGTTTTACAGGAGAGACTTTGTTAGCAAGCAATTGTGATACAGCCCTACAAGGGAATTTTTTGTCTTAACTGCTGTTAGTTAGTGCTTGGCTGACGTACTCAGCTATTTCTACTCAATCTCGAATTTTAGGTAAACAGAAGTTTGTGCTTTGCAGGATCTTTTATATATATTTTAAT